AGGTTTAGCCCATTAGGCCTAAAAAGGCCTCAAGCTTCTGGTTTAGGCCATTAGGCCTAAAAAGGCCTCAAGCTTTTGGTTTCGCCCATTAGCCCTAAAAAGGCCTCAAGCCTTCTATTATATTAGGCTTAAACAGGCTTCAAGCCTTTGTATAGTAAATCTTTGTATAGTGAAATCTTTGAAAGAATAAGCCAAAATAAAAGACAAGCAGTGCAATTTTTGACATAACATGTAATTAGAAAGTTGTTCATCTTAGTGGACTGAGTCACATGACACCATTTGTTTATATGTGGGCCTTGTAATAACATTGTAATAGCATTTTAATAGATTTTTCAGTGTTTTTGAGTGCTAAGGCACACCCAAAGGCCAATCTGGACCAAACTTGGCATACTCTATTTGAATCTCAATATGTATAAATCCTCAAAGCTTGGACATGATCTGACCAATGACTGGTGAGTTATAGCTAATCGAGCTAACAATGCCACGTATGCAGGAAATAATTGATTGATCCACATGACCCTGAGTAGAAAAGTGAAAATGTTTTTGATAATTATTTACGTAGAGAGGCCAAAGAATTGTTCTAGACCAATTTTGAAAAGATTGGATCAAAATCCAGAGACTAGTTCAAAAAGTAGGGTTTTGAAACATTTATCTCTTACAAAAAAAGGATACAGATTTTTAATAAACATGTATAGGCAAAATTGTTTGTCACATGGTAGTACAATAGGTTCTAGGTGAAGATTGTAATAATATTGTAATAACATGTAATAATGTTTAATTTTTTGAAATAGCGCCCCCCAGTGGTCAAATCTTTTGAAACTCGACTGGTTGTTAGAAAGTGGCTAGATATAGACACCAGTCAAGTTTCGTCATGATTGGTCAATGGTAAGCCTGTCAAATGGCCTGCTGAATGCTTATTGGCCGATGGCGACCACAAATTTCAATGTATCCAAATGTCCTTATAGTCGCACTTGTAGACTGGCGAGAGGATGCTGGATGCCAAGTTTCAGCTTGATCGGATGTTCAGAGGCAGAGAAAATGCCCTGTTTTTGTTGCTCCGCCCCCTAATTACTTATGCGCACAAAAATCGAATGGCTACCTCAGAATGGGCTACTGACATGGCCTGTCAAGTTTGAAATTTTTTGGCTGAAGGATTCTTGAGTTACAGATTTTTCAATTAATTCTGAATTATTTTGAATTTATCCAGAGGGGTTCATTTGCATATGGCAGCCATGTTGTATGGAAAACGTAAAATGTTTTTGATAATTATTGACCACGATACTCTTCTGAATTTTTTTACACCAAATAAATGAGGATTGGTCAAAAATTGGAGGACTAGTTTGCAAAAGTAGGTTTTGCACATTTTGCAGTATTGCAAAAAATCAAAGTGGGCGGAGCTAAATAATCAAAATAGCCAAAAGGTTTATTTGGACACATAGAACCAGGAAAAAAATATGGCTTGTCTGGCAAAAATCTGGTTTAGGAGATATAGACCCTAACGCGTTGGCCTTCGCTGTAGCGCCCCCTTGTGGCCGACAGGGCTGATTTCTTGCGCCTGAGTAGCGGGAGGGACTACTACCTATTGACCAAGTTTGGTGTCTCTAGGACTTACGGTTTGGGCTGTGCGTTCCGTTTCAGGGCAGAAAAATAATAATAATAATAGTAAGAAAAATTCTCACAATTCCAATAGGGTTCAATGCATTGCATGCTTGAACCCTAATAAGAAAAATTCTCACAATTCCAATACGGTTCAATGCATTGCATGCTTGAACCCTAATAATAAGAAGAAAAATTCTCACAATTCCAATAGGGTTCAATGCATTGCATCCTTGAACCCTAATAAGAAAAATTCTCACAATTCCAATAGGGTTCAATGCATTGCATGCTTGAACCCTAATAATAATAAGAAAAATCTTGACAATTTCAATAGGGTTCAATGCATTGCATGCTTGAACCCTAATAAGAAAAATCTTGACAATTTCAATAGGGTTCAATGCATTGCATGCTTGAACCCTAATAAGAAAAATTCTCACAATTCCAATAGGGTTCAATGCATTGCATGCTTGAACCCTAATAATAAGAAAAATTCTCACAATTCCAATAGGGTTCAATGCATTGCATGCTTGAACCCTAATAAGAAAAATCCGCACAATTCCAATAGGGTTCAATGCATTGCATGCTTGAACCCTAATAATAAGAAGAAAAATCCGCACAATTCCAATAGGGTTCTACGCACTTCGTGCTTGAACCCTAATAAGAAAAATCCACACAATTCCAATAGGGTTCTATGCACTTTGTGCTTGAACCCTAATAATAATAAGAAAAATCCGCACAATTCCAATAGGGTTCTACGCACTTCGTGCTTGAACCCTAATAATAATAATAAGAAAAACTCTAACAAAAACAATAGGGTCCTACACACTTGCGTGCTTGGACCCTAAAAATCTTGACAATTCCAATAGGGTTCAATGCATTGCATGCTTGAACCCTAATAAGAAAAATCCTCACAATTCCAATAGGGTTCTACGCACTTCGTGCTTGAACCCTAATAAGAAAAATTCTCACAATTCCAATAGGGTTCAATGCATTGCATGCTTGAACCCTAAAAATCTTGACAATTCCAATAGGGTTCAATGCATTGCATGCTTGAACCCTAATAAGAAAAATCCGCACAATTCCAATAGGGTTCTACGCACTTCGTGCTTGAACCCTAATAATAAGAAAAATCTGCACAATTCCAATAGGGTTCTACGCACTTCGTGCTTGAACCCTAATAATAATAATAAGAAAAATTCTCACAATTCCAATAGGGTTCAATGCATTGCATGCTTGAACCCTAAAAATCTTGACAATTCCAATAGGGTTCAATGCATTGCATGCTTGAACCCTAAATATAGCCGCAAGCGGCAATTAGCGGGTCCAAGCACACATAAGCACAAGAAGCTCTCATGCACTTTGAGCCAAATTGAGCCTAATCAGGCCTCATGGAGTTTGGGCCAAATAGGCATAGAGGCTGAAATGAGTTTATCAAAAGGCCTTCATTTGTCATGAAGCATTTGACTTTCAACATATGTTTACATTTCTATGAACTGATCTACACAGGTTTGTAGAACATGCAAAGGATTATCAACATAGATGTCAAAAATACATGAGTAATGGTAAAATATTTGTCATAGTTCTGTTTGCAAGGGGTTTTGTTTCTTCATGTTTAAGGCTTTGATAATCAGGCCATAATGAGACCCAGTGCACTCATAAGGGGCCCTTTGGCATAGAGGAGCTCACTGAAAGTGTTTTAGAATTGGTCAAAAGGTCTCCACATGTTATAATACTTGATCAGGGAACTTGATCAAAGCCGTTCACTGAGTTATGTTCAGATTGACCTTTTGACCTTAGTATAATAAGCTGTAATTTTTAAAGGAATAATTCAAAATACTAGACAAGAAGTGAAATATTTGACATAACATGTAATTACAAAGTTATTCAGGTCAGTGAACTGAATCAAATGGCACCATGTGTTTCTCTGTAGACTTTGTAATAACACTGTAATAGCATCTTTAATGATTTTTGAGGTTTTTGACAGCTAAGGCGCCCTCTAAAGGTCATATCTGGACCAAATTTTGCACACCCTGTCTGAGTCTCAATATACATAAGTACTCAAAGTTTTGAGATGATACAACCAAAGACTGATGAGTTATAGCAAATCAAGCTGGCTATGCCATAGCCGCAGTGATGTATTGAAGGACCAACACCAGGTCGAGTGAAAAAGTCAATATTTTTTTGATAATTATTTACCTAGAGAGGCCACAGAGTATTTCTAGACCAAATTCGAGATGTTCGGATCAAAACTCAGAGACTAGTTCGAAAAGCATGGTTTTCAAAGAGTTAACGATTACAAAAAAACTGTGCATTTTTATAATAAACATTCAATGGTAAAATTGTTTGTCATACTGTACTACATAAGATGCATACAGAGCATGGGTCAAAAATAGTGATAATATGTTCATATCATGTAATAATATGTGATTTTTTATGAATAGCGCCCCCCAGTGGCCAAATCTGTTGAAACTCGACTGGTTGTTAGAAAATGGCTACATGTAGACATCATTCAAGTTTCATCATGATTGGTCAATGTTAAGCCTGTCAAAAGCCTGCTGAATGCTGATTGGCTGATGGCGGCCATAAATTTCAATGAATCAAATTATCCTTCAAGATTCACTTATAATCTGTCTAGTAGATGCTACATACCAAGTTTTAGCTCAATCGGATGCACGGATGCTGAGAAGCAGTTAATTGGCAATTGCCCCGCCCACTAATGACGTATGCCCACCAAAATTGATGTGCTACCACAGAATCTTGTCTTAAATGTGCATGTCAAGTTTCAATGTTGTTGGCAGAAGCATTCTCCACTTATAGAGTTTTAAATGAATTATGAGCTATTTCAGAAGGGTTCATTAGCATATGGCAGCCATACTGTTTAAAAAAGTCAACATAGCAAAAAATCTAAGTGGGCGGAGCTAAATGGTCCAAATTGCAAAGTTGTTTGGCTTGACCCAAGGAATCAGCCACAAAAAGAATTTTGTCTCTACACATCATGGTGTAGAAGTTATGAAGCAAAACGTGTTTTGATGTTCTATAGCGCCCCCCTTTGGCCAATCGGGGTCATTTTTGTTGCCTGGCGAGATGCACACAAACTACATCTAGCCACCAAGTTTGGTGTCTCTAGGCCTTACGGTCTGTTCTCCACAACACGTTTTTCAGGAGAAAAAGAATAATAATAAGAAGAAGAAGAAAAATCCGAGCAAAAGCAATAGGGTCCTACGCACTGCGTGCTTGGACTCTAAAAACACTGACAATTCCAATAGGGTTCAATGCATTGCATGCTTGAACCCTAATAAGCAAACAAACAAAACAACTTATTACAAGTGGGCTGATAAGTGTAAATGGGGTTTTGCATCAAGAGGTGCTTGATGCCATGAATAATTTCTCTTTCTCTTTCTCAGAGAAACCTCCCTGCTGGACATGGCTTCTGCCTCCTCAGTCCAGGTTGTGACAGTTATGGAACCACTTATACAATATGCCAACATCCTGTTCCCTGAAGGTAATACACTAAAGGTGTTGCTGGAAAAGGACGCATAAGCTATAGACCTCTGAGAATGTGTCATCATTTTGTAGTTAGTCCAGACAAACTCTGGGTCTATGCAGTATTTGTGTATGGAAAAAAAAATAATGAATTGGTTTTACATATGTTTTTTAAATGTCACTGTGATATTTGAATGACAAAGTCATTAAGGTACTCAAAATGGGTGTATTAATACATATATGCTCCAAGCAAGCCAACATATCAGCACATTTAATTGGTATCATCGACACATTAAACTGTCAACCTGTAAAATACTCTGAGCAAACTGTGAGCTTTGTTAGGCATGGTAGTCAAGTGATTTTGGAGGTAGAAGGCTGCCAAATAATACAATGCAAAAGTTTTAGGCATCTAAGCAATTCTTTAAAAATTGATATGTTTAAATCCATCACCAGTGCACCTGGTTTATGACTTAATGAAGGACTGATTAGCCAAACTAGGCGTTGAACAGTAACAACAAGTAATACTGGGCTTTCTTGCGGAGAGTTTTGGAATCAGTTAAGCAAACACAGTAACATAAAATCACAACTTAATATATCAATGTAATTCATATTTTTCCTAATTGTAATGATTTTCTGACTCACTGCTCAGTTAAACATTTTTTTTGAAATATTATTTTTTTCAGGTACATCCCATGAAATGTTTTTTTTCTTTTTATATATGTGGACTTTGGGTGGATCCTAAGTTAAAGTGTATGTGTAGATAAACAGCATATATGGAAATTTGACCTTGACTTTGCAATCATTTATTTAAAAAACTAAGATGCCTTTTTTGTGGAAAATGTAAGCACACTCCTGACTTCAGTAACTGGTATTATCTTTGTCAGAAACAACTTCATGAAAGTGTTTCTTATAACTGCCTACCAGTTTTGTGACATCTACTGAGAGAATTTTTTGCCCATTCCTCCATGCAGAATTCTTTAAATTGTGCAATGTTTGAGGGGTTTCTTGCATGTACAACCCATCTGAAGTCCTCCCTCAGCATTTCAATGGGATTCAGATCTGGGCTTTGACTTGGCCATTTCATAACCCTCTGTTTCTTCCTTTTGAGCCATTCTTTGGTGGATTTACTTGTATCTTTGGGATCATTATCTTGTTGAAACGTACACTTCTTCAGCTTCAACTTTTTGACAGTTGGACACATTGTCCTCAAGCACTTTCTGGTATGAAATGTAATTCATACTTGATTCTGTGCAGGTTGTCAAGGCCCTGGGGCAGCAAAGCAGCTCAAACCGTAATGTCTTTAGTTTTCGCCAAACATGGTTTCTGGTACTGTAGCCAAACATTTCTATCTTTGGCTCATCTTTCCATAGCACATTGTTCCAGAAGTCCTGGTCCTTGCCTACTCATTCATTAGCAAATTTAGTGTTGGTCTGATGTTCTTTTTAGACAGCAAATGCTTCTGCCTGGTGCACTTCCTGTGATGGTCAAATTTGTGCAGTCTCTTTCTAATGGTAGATGCATGTTCACATCAACAGAGTTACATGCAGATCCTGTGTTGAAACTTTGGGTTTCTTGGAGACTTTTTTAGCATCTTTTGGTCTGCTCTTGGGTTAAATTTGCTGGGCAACCTGACCTGGACATGTTAGAAGTGTGTTTTTAAATCTTCTCCACTTGTACATGATCTTCTGGACAGTACACTTTAAATAAAGAAGAACAAACTAGATCAGATATCTGAGGTTTAAATAAGACCACCACGTTTCCACCAAGACATTCTCTAAATGTGTTTGAATTATTAACACCTGATTGGGTGCACCTGATTTCAATTTGACAAATTTGCAGTAGTGATATATATTGCTGCTGTCCAAAGAAAACAAGTATCTCCAAAATGGTAATTTCAAAGGAGAAGTCAAAAACGTTCTTTACTTTTACTGTAAGTCAATGTGAAGATATTTTATTCCAAGCTATTTTAGAGCATTGCTGTGCTGGTCCATTCATCATGAAATTTTCACACAATGTAAAGGACAATCACTGTGTTCATATGATGCAGAAAACTAAAAATCAACAAAAATAGAGATACATTTATTGTCTTTGGACAGTGACGATATGTAGGGGTGTACTTACTTTTCCCATATAAGAACTGTATTTCTGTTTAGTTCAGTTCTATAAAGGATGCCAAAAAATTGTATTTTTAAATGTCTCTTGTTAAATTACATCACCTTTATCTATTAACATTGTTTAAATAAAGGCTTAATATCTGTATGTCCAAATATGTTGAAAAAGTCTAAACTTTTCATAGAGTGATTTTACTTCTTCACATGAGTGTATATATTGTCACTGTCAGAACAAAACTGTTTCTTCGTTTTTGTTGTGTATATGTAATGTCTATATACACATGTATTTGTGTATAGTATCATGTCACTTAACAACATCAATTATGAGCAGGAGTATTAGAATTACTAGCTTGCTAGTAGTATGTATGCAGCATTCATGTTTCAATTTTTTACTGACCTTATCAGCTTTGGACTAGTTTTGTTTACAGCAGGGGGTGATAATGGCCCATTTTTAAAAATGCTTTTCTTTTTTCCCATAATCAAAAATGACTTACACCCAGAGTGCATTTTTGGACATGTTGCCAACTTCATTAAGATGCACAACCTCAGAGGCCTCATAGTACATAAGAGGGAGCTGGTTATCGCAAATAAAATCACAGCTGTGATTTGGTGATTGCTGTAGATCATCACAGCCATGATGTCCTTAGCAATAACACACAACGTTGGGTTTAGTACTTTTATACAACATTTAGCAAAAGAAAGCAAAGAAAAGCTTTCTTCTGTTAGAAAACAAAAAAAATACGTACATTCTTTTTTTTTAATTTAAGTTTTTAATAATGGCAGTTACTTCTGCAAAAAAAATTGCATGTTGCTGTCACTTTTCAGTTCACAATTGCTGATTGACAAGTTGGCTTAAGGGAAACAACAGGTTCAAAATTTGGCCAGCTAATGTCCTACTTTTCTTTTGAATCTGATCACGTGGTTGCAAATGTTACTGTTTCTGTTTAATCAATTTTTCTTTTTTTGTATTTGTTAAATAATTATTTTTGCTTGGCAGCTGGTGGTCAGTGAAATAACAATATCTAGAGAATGCTTGTCTATCAGTCAGTGTTAAAACTAACTGTTGCAGACTGAGATGAGAAATGCAGAAGCTGTTCTATATCTCTGTCTCAATTCAATTTAGATGTTTTTACTGTTTTGCAGAAATTGATTTTGACATTCCAGAGCTGCCAGAGCTGTCTCCATCTTTACCTCAGAGGAGCCTGTCTGATAGCATCTTTCCTTCCTCTCCACCTGCCTCTGCCCATGCCTCTGTCTCAAAAACTGACAGGTAATCATTGAATATGGATCTGCTCCTGCACTCAGAGTTTGTAAAATAGGACTTAGCAAGACCACACTTATAATTTATTGTACAGTAAGGCTGTGTTTCTATATGTGTACATCATGACATGATTGTCAAACAAATATTGTATAAAGACATTTTTATGACAAAACATGGAAAGAGTTATTGTGCGAATGTATAGGTTATTTGTGGAGGCACATATTTATTGCTTAATAAACTTAAAACATTTTTTGCCTTGATGGAGTTATGCAGCTTGCAGAATCAGAGTAAACTGCATAACTAAGTGAACTGATGAATAAAACTGCTTGTGTTACCATGATTTCTGTTAGAAACAAGGCCTATAATTCACAAAGGCATTCCAAGACATAACATTTAAATCAGGCATTTCACACATTAGGATTTAAGAGCAGTAACAATGTTGTGTAAATTTATTTTTTTATGAATAAGAAAAATGTTTTAGCTTTTAAAGCTGTGAGCGTGTTCTTCTCTTCTATCCCATAGCACAACTTCATCTAACGACTTTGGGCCAGCGGTAATCGTCAAGACAGGCCCACTCAATCGTGGTGCAACAGTATGGGAGAGTAATATTCCTCCTCCAGTCAGTCAATCATCTGCTCAGGGCCCAAGTCCAAATCCAGTACCCTGTCATAATCAGCACCAAGTCCAGACCAGTCCTCAGACCCAAGCCCAGCCTCAGATCCAGACTCAGGCTCGAACTCATCCGAAGACTTCTAGTCCTGGAGAGGGTAGCTCAGGACAGGCTCATGGTTCACCTGAGCCCACACTGAAAATCACAACTCCATTTAAACGTATGATGACTTCCATTAACACAGTTGCTCCCAATCCTGGTCATGTATTACCCATATCCTGTACATTTTAGTGTTTTCTCTGTTTTAGCACACTAACTTCAACTCAGGAAAAATCTTGTTAAATAACTAATTTGTTTACTTACTTTTTATTACTTATAAATTGGGTATGTTAGAGCAGGACAAAGCCACTCTGCAGTAAGTCTTGACGACTTGTACATGTATCTTGTTTTCCTCTCCTAATCCCAAATTACTCTTTTTCTTTATGTTTTACAGCAAGGAGGTCTTTCATTCAGCCTAGGTCATACAGAGAATCTATGGCTATAACCTATGGCAAATCCAAAGCCCCCATTTCTCCCTTGAGCCAGGTTGGAATTTCTCCAATGCCAGTGCCAAGAAGCTTAGCATCAGCCCTTCCCACAGTTCCTGAAGCACTTGCACAGCCTGTGGCCAAAACCCAAGCTCCACCTGCCCCTTCAGCTTCACTGCCCGAAGCAGGGCCACAGCGAAAGGCCCCTGGCAAAAGACCCAAAATCCCGCCGCCATTACCGCCCCAGCAGCTGCCCAAGCAGCTCTCATCCTCAATCCAGTAAGTCCAGATGCATCCATCTGCCGATCTAGAGACCAGAAGCAGGTCTAGACATGCAGTTTCAACAACGTAATGTGACTTTAGATTTAACTACGAACATCTTGTGTTAATGTAACACTGTTTGTGTTATTTATGTGCCAGTGTTGTGCTAGCATAAAATTTAAATAGCTAGCTAGTATATTTTTTAGCTGTTCAGTCATCTTATACTTAAGATAGTTTGACACATCTGAACTTCTTTTCAGGGTGTATAACTTTACATTTAGGGTATTAGTTTTCATTATGACTTAAAAGGCAAATTCTTGATGATTAACAATTAAGTTAGCAACGTTGGCTTTTAGCTAGCTAGCTGTTAACTTCAGCTGTGAACAGGTAGTCCAAGTAACCTTAATCATGACCCTAACTCTGAGGGGGGTACAAACCACAGCATGTCTTGAAACAGCAGGTCTAGAACTGCTGCTGGCCCTCTGGCACCTCAGTTTAATTTCATTTTTCAGTGACTACCCCTCATCCCTCCCAAACTGTGTGTTTACAACATACATAACACAAGCGCTCACTTCCCGATGGAAGTGTGGGGTATCGTTTTAAAACAGAACTCCCAACTCTTGTGAACATGAAGTTAAAATATTTTGTCACCCTAGCAATTTGCACTGCAGTTAGCAATGGCCTAAGCACTCTGCCATCAGGGTAAGCTGAGCTAGCATTTGTTAATGTAAGTTCCTTAAAGTTAGTTAGATAGCTTTACTTTAGCTTCAGCTGGCTGCAGGTTACTGAAAACTTTTGCAATTCATGGGCACAGACAAAAAATTAAATACTCACATATGGCTATATGTTAGCTAAAATCTTGTGCATATCTTGTTTTTTGAGCTGGGGATAGCTCTTTGCCATAGAATTGTGATAAAAAATCAGTTAATTCAGTTTGAGTCAAACCAAAGGTTTGCAGGGCTACCAGTATAAACTTTCCTTAACCTATTTGAGAAATGGAATGCCCTTCAAGACAGAGGCTGATGGAGGCTCCTTAAAGGGAGGGACAGAGGGGAAGTCTGAAAGCCTTTCTTTTCAAGAGGCATAATGCAGGACTGGTCTGCAGATGGATGATGTTAATAGATTAAGTCCAGCCCACAAATGCCAGCTCATGTCATACTTGTTCTTTTGATGAAGTACATTAAAAATGTTGACCTTTAAAACTCATCTGTTGGCATCTATTATTTGTAAAACACAATTCTTTATTTCTTGTACATAATGTGTTTTTTTGTATTTGAAGTGGCTTTTAACAACTTTATTATTTAGACTACTATACTTCTTTCAGCTTTGCGAGGCCTGACTCTATAGATCTGCATTTTCACTTGTCTGACTTCCTTTGGTTTCAGCATAATATGTTAACAGTATTAAGCTAAAATGCAGTGCAGCTCAAATTCTTCACTAATTTAGGGATTTTTAGCTGTGATACAGTTATAGCACAGTTATTCAAATCATCATAATCATACATGTAAACAAAGTTTTCTGTTGTCTTTTTTATTAGAAACATAACTGGTATTGTTTATAAGGGTACATTAGGACTGTGTGCATTTCCTGTGCATAGAAGCACATCCAAATATCTACAATAGACATCACAACATCGTTGAGGAGTCAACTCCTCTTGTCATAATATGGAAATTGAAATTCTTACAAACATCATATTAGCTGTCATAATTCACAGCTTTGATGTGGCAGACCATTGTTATGTAAGGATATCTTCATGACAAAAGTGATTTTACAAATTCATATCAAATTTGTGGAGGCAAATATTTATTGCTTTATAAACTAAAACAGAAACTGAAAAAATCCAGCATCAGTCAACTTATGAATAATAAATCACTGCTTTCCCATTATATCAGTTTGCAACAAGACTTATAAATCAACAATTAATGCCCTACAGTCTAAATGAGGATTAATAATAAATGTGTAATAAACCACTTGAACACACCAGTAGTAGTGGTCTAAAAATTCAATGAGTATGCCATAAGTTGCCATTCAGGAATAGTACATATTGTTGAGGTTATTTTTTATACTTTTAGAAAAAACACTTTGTGATAGATGTGGGAAAAATATAATTAGGTGATACCTTAATGAAGTGTAGCCTTTACAAAGGAAAAGGTATAAAACTTTCCACCAACTGGCAGATAGAAGTGTGTCTTTCATAGAGTCTCTGTGGCAAAAAGTGGCCTTGCCTGAGTTTGTGCCTTTAAGATCTGGCAATCGACTTTAACATTCATAATCAGATAAAGGAAAGTGACAGTAACAGGGTCACGTTTCTCATGGCCTCGATCACACACTCACTAAATATTACATGTGCACATAAAAAAGTATATTCAAACATCCAGTCCACATACTTTCGTCTCTCACCATCCACATCTCTCAGTGACTCCAATAAGCATTTCATTCACCTCTCATCCAGCATGTTTTCATCTACACATATGTTGCACTTAGTTCAATGAATTACAAACATAAAGATGAGCTTTGTCTTTAGTCCAAATAAAGTACAAAAATTCATTTAAATCACTTTTCTAGAAATTAAAGAGGTTAAAAAGCCAAGCTTTTGTCCATAACAAGAAATACAGTTGTGTGTGTCCCTAGTCAAATTACATGTTTTGTTGATTTTATGAGTGAAAATCAGCATTTTACAGGTGAAAATAAGTACACATGCTCTAAAGAGAACATTTTAATGCACAATTGCCGTTTATTCGCTAAATTTAACACACTGGGCAAATAATATAACAAGTTGTAGCACTTTTTTTTTATATTTTATTGTTTTCCAATATGTTCAATATGGCACTACAACTTACAGAAAAATGACATATTTAAGTTTGTTCCCTGTACAAGATATGTTAACTTACCTTCACTTAGAAAATCAACAAAACATGTAATATGAGTGTGAGTTAAACTTTTGATTGTCAAAAGAACATTTTTTTCAAGAACATTTTTCCTGTAGGCTACACTTTGATCTCCTCTTCTTCATCGGGGTAAGTGTAAGGCCTTCTCTTTTGACAGCAGTTCATGTTAGTATTCTTTTCTGTTCCGCTACCATAATGACGTGCCAGCACATTTGCAGCCATCTGAAATCTCTCAGCCTCCATGCCATGCTCTTCTGTGGTATAAGACCGCACCTGGTCGCCAGGCCCTACGATAGGCCTTTTTGGGGTTTCGCTGTTCATTACATCTTTATACCCCCATTCTACATCATACAAGCAGCTCAGGCCCTCAGAATCCTCTCTCAGAAGAGAATCCACCAGTGAGGTTCTGGGATGCAGGCCCATTCCTGCATTGCCATTGGCCAACCCAAATGGAGCCTCAGGCTCATGCTCCACTTCAGAGATATTGTTAATTTCCTGGTGGGCGTTAGGACTGTTGATCATGGTGAAAACCTCAGACATGAGGGAGGGACCGAGGTCTACAGTGAAGGAGGTGATGGAGTCAGAGGGACTGAGTGTGCCTGAGCAGGAGAGGTTCAGAATGGCCATGTCTGTGAGGGAGCTGCGATGGATTTGGGTGGAGCAGCCCGAGGGTGAGCTGCCCTGCAGTGAATGGTCTGTACGGAGAATCCTGGGCAATGTCACAAAACCAGACTCTATACCTACAGAGAGGTGGATAAAACAACAAGAATGTATTTCTTTCTATGTATTTATATTTGATACATTGGTCTTATGATAATTCTGTATCTGACTGTACATTACTTTGTCTTGGATTTGTGTATTTTCTATTAAGTTTTCAGAGTTTTTGGAGAAGGTAATACACAAATAAAATGTATAATAATAATAATAATAATAATAATAATAATAATAATAATTATTATTATTATTATTATTATTATTATTAACAGAAAGCAGGAACTGTTTTGAGAGTTCATGTGCTATTGCCTTGAATGGAGGTGGAGGAGAAATTTGGTATGTAACAGCCATCTGTTTACCTGTTTACAAGCTAAAAGTAAAAAAAAAAGTTAAAAACAATTCACCAAAAAATAACATTTGTTTATTGTTAAGTATTTCCATTCTGCCTGTCACTGGATCAAGGGGTTGTGATAAGTACAGTAAAGTGACTTATTGTAAAAAAAACGTGAAGAGTTTAAATGACATTATTTAAAGTTGCTGAAAAGTTATGTCCATCCTGCTTTGCCTTTAGATCAAGTGATCTAGCCACCTCCATATTGATCATCGACCCCTTTACAATTTTACTTTCCTTTCGTCAGCAGATGGCAGTGACTAAAGAGCATGTTTAAAGGCGTTTAAAACTTTGCACTTGCTGAACAAATCCACAGTCAACCCTCATGCACAGTTTAAACCAGTTCAGATTATTGTTTAACTTCAATAAGCTTTGGCTAAAAATATATATAGAAATCTCTGAGGTAAACTACCCTTAATCAATTGAATAAGTACAAGTGTGTGGTTGTTATAGTGTAGTAGGTAACAACTGTGCCCTTCACTCTGCAGACTGGTACTTGGGAAAGCTTACACCATATCAGCCTAGGTGTGTTCAGATTGGCAGGTTTGGTTCAATCAAAACGAACACTGGCACGATTGCTCTGTTAGTGTAGCTTGTTAGTGCAAAAAATGAACTCTTTTGTGGTTTGTCTGAAGTATGAATGCAATACAGACCAAAATCCAGAATATAATATTGTCTCCTCTCTGCTTAACTTTTTTTGGTATGTGGAAAAAGACAATTGTCTGATGCTGTTTTGACACATGCATGTGTTTAATCACCTCATGAAATAATAAAATCTGACCAAGCAGTAGTGACTTCTACCCATTTGACTTTTTTTTAACATCTTTTGGTTCTATGTTAAATATGTCAGGGTGAACACTAAGTGAACCAGAACTAAAATGCAACAGTGTATTTTCTGGTTTGGTCCTGACTAAGAGAAACCAAAGTACAGGTACAAACAAACCCTAAGAGTCCTTGATGAGACTCTTAACACGATTAATACAAGACTTTTAGTTCAGATAGAGAATTAAAAGTTATTTTAAATTAAAAGTCATTATCAATGAGGTTTTCAGAATGCTCCAATCTGACAACGTGTGAAAACTCTACACTTCTTATATGTGGAAAAATGGTCTTGTAATATTACGTATTATACTGTACACACATAACTATCTGGGGTGGTGTGTGTGTGTATCCATGCATGTGTGAGGGTAGTATGAGTAAGCCTGGAATTCAGACCCTGTGATTGATAGATAAATCTTAATGCGGTAAAGGAAACATCAGTTGGAGTGCCTTTTGTGGCATTCAATGGCATCCTTATTAATTACTAAGTGAAAATGTGAAAGTCTGCAATAACCTGTCTTGAAGAAACATTACACACAATTTTCCCCTTACCCGAAATGTAGTTGATCAGCCATGACACAATTGGTGTCAGAAGTTTCCTTCTTTAGTTTTGTACTGGAGCTATTGTAGCCAACAAATTACAAAGGCTTAAGGCTACTTTCCATTTAAAAAAACAAAACAAAAAGAGAACAGCAAGTTTCATTTCTTCCCTCAGGAGCTGAAACTTTTTGAGTGCTTTCAAAGGTAGCTCGGCTCCTCATAACTAGGTTTGAGCTGAGTTAGTAGATGTTAGCTTCACAAATAAGACAAAGTAATCCTTTTGACATTTGGCAGAAAGTTCTAGTTGGAGGTTCACCTTGCGGACCGCAGTGACTGGTCATGTGAATTCATGTTGCCTGGCAAAAATGTACAAAAATCAAACAGAGGCCGAATAAAATAATGCTGCAACTTTGGCTTCCGACAAATCAATTTTTTTGTGCTAAATATCATCAGTTGTTGGTCGTGCTGTTTATATGTACAAAAAAGCCTTTACAACCCATAGCAACCTATGTGCAAACTGCTAACCACATGAAGTTGCTAAGTAATCTCAAAAAAGTCTTCATGTGATTTCTAACACTGTATGACACACTCTTATCCATAAATATGGAGAAAAGTATGGACAAAATTCAGATTTCAAGATAGCTGCAACTGCTTTAGCTGTGCAATATTTTTTTTATTTTATAGATATTTTATAGACAGTATATTATATAATGTCAGATCACCTAAGCAGGTCTATTTAAGAGTATGACAAAGTCCTAAAACAAATTCAGTCTTTGCAATAAACTTGCTAGAAATAGATTATTGCAGTGGTTTTTAAAGTGGGGGGCGCAGAGGGTCTCTAAAAGGGCCCAAGGAAACATCAGTTGTATGTCTACTAGTAAGCTGTAAAAATAAAAAGTTAGCTCAACTTGACTACACAGCTTTTTTTGAGTTAACTAAAACTTCTTAGTCAAAAGTTCTCTTTTTCTGGTTCTGTATCTCAGTAAACTTTAAAGAATTTGTTTTTTACACAATTTTTCCACTAGCTAGAACTCTTTCCATTTCCATCATAACTGGCATTTTCTCCTCATGGGCTTCCAGCTATGGACTGCTGAGGTGTTGCTGGGCTTCAAACTCACGATCTCCTGCTGTTGGCATGAATTATTAGATAATCAGACAGCTGCATCAAGTGTTACCATGCTACTTTTCAAAGTTAAAACAACAAATATTCTCTACAGTGTATTAAACATTTATAAAAACAAAATCTGAGTAATTTTAGGTGTCCAAGGTGTGCTACTGACTAAGCCATCATCCCAAGAAGAGACTGTGAGTTTGAACCCCAGCAATGCCATAGCCATCTGTAAGTGAGTACCCAAGAGGAGAAAATGTCCTCTCAGCTAGCGCGAAAACTGAGTTAAAAAATGCAATAATTTTACCAAACTGAGATATGGAACTAAAAAATTAAAAGAAAATTTTTACTAAGAAGTTTGAGTTTAGTGTACCCTAGTGTCCCCTAGTGTTGATTTTAACAAGTTGATACAACTGAGCTGACATTTTTAACAGTGCAAGTTTTATTTTGTTGGTTTATTAAATCTTGGCCATATCCCAAAAAGTGGTACTTAGTAAACATGACTGGGTAGTGGGGGGTGTGGGGGGGGTGGCATAATGTCAAACGTGTTGTAGTTAATGGTAAAAGCACATGTGTGGTGTTGTTTTGGTCTTACCATAAGAGCATGTAGAGTTCTCAGGTGGTTTCGGTGTGCTGGGAAACAGCACTTTGACCGGGCAGTTGTTGGGCGAGTCCATGTCCAGACGAGGCAGGGAGACTGCGTTTTTTATGATGGGGGAAATGGGCGGAGGTGGGGGAGAAAGGGCTTTGGACCCCCGCTGCGGCCTATCTGGGGTTTTGCGGATATGGCGCAGGGTGCGAGAGAAGATGCCTTCACTTTTCTCTGAGGCGGTGATGGAGTCTGCATCACCAGCACTCCTTACCCCACCATGATTGCTAAGGAAAGACGTGTCTCCGAATACGTCACCCCCTCGGCCCACGTGCATGGTGTGGCGGAAGTCACCCAGTGGTGGGCTAATCATATCTGGGGTCAAATCGCCCTTGAATCTACGCTTCCCTGATGAGTGAGACACCAGGCCCTTCAGTCCGGACAGCTTGCCCAAGTTCATGACTGCAGCTGACAATTGTGATTACCCACACAAAAACAAAAACTCGAAACCGTTTTTTAGTTAGATGTCCTTCTGTTTCAACAAAAAACTTCTTGTATTCCAGCAGTTCCTTTTTTGAGGTTTGTTCCTATGTAGTGAGAAGAATCTGGCCTGATCTAGACAGGAAATGATCCACACATTACCATTCATGCAAAACTATGCATGGCTCAGTGCTCATCTAAGCAAAACTGAAAAAACAGCAGTTGAGCAAAATGTTTCTCAGAGAAATTTTTTTCCATGACAATGTACTCAGCTTTTTCCTGCGGTTTTCTGTCCATATCCAAAATGCTCCTGTCAAGATAGATGTGCGTTGAAAATATGCATGTCCCCAAGTCCTAGAAACCTTGGCTACATATGGGGTCAGGGATGTTGGGCCTTTCAGTTGTTTATGGGTTTCTGGCTTTGAAAAAACACAAGTTCAGAAATAAATTTGGCTCCAGCTGCAGGCATCTGTTGTGGTTCAAGATAGAAACCATAGAACTTCTACACTGAATTTGAGAGCATCCATTCCTACATGTTGAGGAAGATAAAATTTTAAGAAAACATAACAGTCTCTGTTTTTTTTTTTCAAAAAAGAAAGTGACATGGTGGTATGTGTGGATACAAAAATAACTGTGATTTTTGCTGTGCAGTTAGTTATCCTGCTGATGCTAGGCTTTGGAAAACTAGGTTGTGTCCCATTCCAAATTCTCCAGGCTGAAGTCCATTGCTTTTAAAATGTCTAAATTTTAAATGGGTCCTCGGCCATGGACCTTAAATCAAGGATGTGTACCAGATAAGAGACTCACTTCACTAACTTTATCTAAAAATAATCTCTGGCCTGCCTGGGCTTTTTTGCTGTTATTTCAATATGGAATGCGTAATGGCCATTGCTCCTTAAACATTTTGACAAAGTAATGCACATTTATAGGTTTGCATGTTTTATGGGCTTTTCGTTAACACTGGCCTCCCACACATGTTAGTTTGACTTCATTAAAGACTTATTACAATGCTCCAGCAGGATTACATCAGCTTTCAAGTGGGCTTTTAATTTGGTCTTGTTTGCACTCCAATTCCTAGCCTTTTATTTGAACCAACCTTTCTTTTAGAGAGTAAGTTTTGTTTTGTTCTTTTGGCACACAGGTCTCATGCCCTTATACATATATATATATATATATATATATATATATATATATATATATATATATATATATATATATATATCAACTATGATGTTCTGTTTGACCTAAAGTAATTCATTCAGTAACCTCTCTGTTTGCAATGTACTTAATTGCATAATTCAATTCATGTTGATAAAGAGTCTTGTGTTCACATCTCCTGACAAAATCTCCTGTGTTATCCACCAACAATGATTCAATAAAACCAAAAATATTTATGTACTCAATAAGTCTTGTATAACATCAAGTGAAGTTATTGCTATCCAGGTAAAATAAACAAACAGCTTCCGTGTCTAATTAGTCAGACTGTGCACTGCCTTAATCGTAGTTTACTCAAGGTCCTGCTGTGGTGTGTGGGGTGTCCAGGGCGCCCTACACAGGTTTGCTATTTTATCCTTGCATGTACACACTGTGCCCTGGCTGGAGGCTCCCCTGGTCCATGTTCAACATTTCACTAATCCATGTGGGTCAGGGAAAAAATAGATAAAAAAGGCTTTTGAAGGTAATAAAGTAAATGCAGTAATCTTTGCAATAGCCTGTCTCAAGGGGCAAAAGATCAGCTCCTTGAGGATTGGTCATGTCCTGGATTAGTTGCTAATTGCTCATTTCCTCTGGTCCCTCTCTTCAATCCCCTCAGTCCTTTTGGCTTTTTGGATGCGCAAGTGGCTGCACTGAAATTATGTGTCCCTGAGGGATAAAGATCATCATAAATAACATTATCAGTCTTGCCACATATGCCACAATATTAAGCAGTAAAGCAACAGTATGGTAAAAAAAACTAATTTACACAATTTCCTCATTATCCTAAATGTAGTCCATCACATATATGTTTGGAGTTTGACATCTGCTTCTGTAGCTAACAAGTAATGGAAATTTATGTCCTTCAAATTAGCACTGTAAAACTGCATGCCTAAATCATCACGTAATTTTTAAAAATATTGGCTTATCATTGCTGTAATTTCAAAATGATTCAAAATGATAACTTTTCTGCATAATGTGAACACAAAAACTGCCCTTTAGATTTCACGATGAAGGGAACAATAAGGATCAAATCTTGATACATTATCTTATATAAATTCTTAAGAACTATTTATTGCCTTCTCCCTTAAAGTAAACATTTTGCAGATTTTTTTGGACAGCAACACTGTGGGTTTTGACACTGTAAGATATGCTTTTTTTTACCTTGTTGAGGGGTGAATCTGCTCCCATTCTTATTTGTAGCTGGCATGATTGTTTGCTGTTTTCTCTGCTATCTCTTGCTAGTCTCTGCAGTTTTACATTTTTACTTTTTTAAGTAGTTGTTGTGTATTTCTTGCAATAAATTACAACCACCAATTTTAAGAGGTTACTTTTTCCTCTCATCAGATTTGCAAGACACCTGGAAAGGATTCAAATCAGCTGAGAAAGCAATGTAAGTATTGCTTCACTCTGAGTGCAGCATGTTTAGCTATGCCTCTGTCTCCATCACTAGTGACAGCAGTGTTACTGGCTTCGTTTGCGAGAAGTGTAAATTACTTTCTTGCTTGATGGAGAACATTATACAGTTAGAAGTGTGCATCCAAAAATTAGAAAAGAGCAGGGCCAATCAGCAGGGCTAAGACTCACTGTTAGAAGAGGGTGGCTAAGGGAGAGTAAGCCTGCCCTCAACTTCAGCAGCAGAGCCCTCACAGCAGGGCGAATGGTTGGTGTCTCATAGTCATAGTCGCAAAGCTAAAGCTAATGCTAAAGCTTTCACACATGAGCAACGCTCCTCTTCCATTCATGTGTCCAACAGGTTTGCCCCACTCAATGAGACACCCTCTGAGATGACTGTTGAAAGAGCTCTGGTTATAGGTGATTCTATTTTATGGCACATGAAAATGGCTTGTCCTTTAGGGGCACCAGTAGCAGTTAGCTGTACACCGGAGCCAGTCACTTTCGTGATCTTTTTGCACTTCACGGTTTTGACCCACGCCTTTTTTTTTTTACTACGTTTTTGTCTCGTGTTAATAAAACCAATCTTGTCAGTTTTATCCGCACGCATCTGGATTCTGCTGAATGGTTACGGAATACCTCGCCTAACATGCAGACGGCGGACCCGGAAGCCTTTCAGAAGGCTCTGAACGAACAAGGGCAACTACTAGGTCGTCACCAGCAGGTTTTGGCCGGAATGACACACTCCCTTGAGTCACTTGCTCACCAGCAAGCCGAACAACAGGCGCAATTGGCCCAATTAGTCGCTAGTGTGAAAGGACTGACTGGGCAATTACAGATGATGAACTTCACGGACACTTCAACCAACACGGGGCTCTCAACCACGACTGAAGGCACACCAATGGCTGTATATCCAGTTAGTAAGCCTGATAAATTCGGAGGAGACCCTGATAAATGTTGTGGTTTCTTGTTACAGTGTTTGGTTTACTTTGACAATTCCCCTGATAGCACTGACCAAGCTAAAATATCTTTCATTGTTTCTAGACTAGCAGATAATGCGTTAGAATGGGCCGCTGCCAGTTGGAGTCAAATACACCGCCTTTCATATGCTCAGTTCCTGAAAGAATTTAAGACGGTGTTTGATCATCCCTATGAGGGTAAGATAAGTGGAGAGATATTGTCTAAGTTATCTCAAGGAAATCGCTCAGTGGTAGACTATTCACTTGAGTATAGAACTCTAGCCACGAGTAGCGGATGGAATGAGGTGGCACTACTAGTTATATTTTGTCAAGGACTTAATGCTGAAATATTAACTGAACTCACTAGCAAGGATGACGACTTGACACTAGACCAATTAATAACACTAGCCATCAAGTTGGATCATCTCCTGCACCATCGAACCCAAGTAAAGAGTGGAAGAAACGTTCGGAGAGCTTTCCCTCGGGTGAAACCCTATCCAGAGACCCCAGAAACTCCCGAACCCAGGCAATGTGATTCGTCACGACTGTCTCAGGAGGAAAGGTTGTGCCGCCTAACCAATCAGCACTGTCTCTATTGTGGAAAGGTGGGACATCAAGTATGCAAGTGCAGAGCCAGACCACAACAGAGCAAGGCACCGACCCCTGGAAAGCACGTGGAGTTCACTCAAAGGGGTTGTTCCCACAAAGGGGTTGGTTTCAAAATCTGTTTTGTTACCTGTCATTATTTATTGTCATCCCCACTCTCGTGTTCTTTCAGCCTTGATCGATTCTGGGGCAGAAGGAAACTCCATTCATGCTAAACTGGTGGAGCAGCTACAAATTCCTGTACAGAAGCTCCCGACCGTGCTGAAGATGGCTGCATTGGATGGAGGATCAGTGGGAGTTGGCACCATTTCCTGCATCACTGACCCTCTCAAATTACAAACCAGCGCCCTCCATAAGGAAACTGTCCTTCCTAGTTCTTGAACAATCCAAATTTGAATTAATTTTAGGCCTTCCCTGGTTAGAAAAACACAACCCCACTATCTCATGGTCTGAACATACCATCACTAAATGGTCAGATTATTGTGTCCAGTCCTGCCTGACTCCAGTCCTGAGTATACCCTTTAACGCAAGAAGAACAAGAAGCCCTCGACGTGTACATCCAAGAAGCCCTCCAGCAGGGGTTCATTCGGCCTTCTACGTCCCCGATTGCCTCTAGTTTTTTCGTTATTAAAAAGAAAGATGGCGGACTACGACTTTGTATTGACTACAGAGCTCTGAATCAGATCTCTAAGGCCTATCCCTACCCTCTTCCATTGGTTCCGATAGCTTTAGAACAATTGCAAGGGGCAAGATTTTTCACCAAATTAGATTTACGTAGCACTTATAACCTCCTTAGAGACATGCTAGGGCAGTATGTTATCGCTTACCTGGACGACATTCTGGTGTATTCACCTACTCTAGAAACACATGTCCAACATGTGACAGCTGCTCTGCAACACCTCTTAGAGAATAAATTGTTTTTAAAAGGAGAGAAATGCGAGTTCCAGTCCGTAGCATTTTTGGAATATATCATAAGTTCAC